CCATCGAACTCCATGGTTAGTATTCCACTAAAGACATCAATTTTTGCTTTGACCGTCTTTAAAAAGGGTCTTCCTAGTAAAATAGGGACTGCATTTTTATCGTTCTCCATTTCGAGAACGTAAAAATCAGCGGGAAAAATTAAATTATCCATCATGACGAGTACATCCTCTACTACACCTTTCGGGTAAGCATTGGATCTATCGGCAAGTTGGACAACAACCCCCGTTTCATGTAAAGGGCCTAGTTCTAGGGACTTATATAGAGAATATGGGATGACATTGATTGATGCTCCCAAATCTAACATAGCCCTCGAAAAACTAGAATTTCCTAGTTTACATGGTATAGTGAACATTCCCGGGTCACTATACTTTTTAGGCAATTTCTTTTGAAAAACGGCCGATACTCTTTCACTCACTTGGATTTTATGCTTTCCATTTAATTTCTGTTTCCGTTTAATTGTGCAAAGCTCTTTTAAAAATTTTGCAAATCTAGGAACACCTTTAATCAAATTGAGAAGAGGGATATTTACCTCACATTTGCTGAAGGTCTCATAGATGTCCTTGTCATTGTTGTATTTGCGGTTGTCCTTGAGAGCCTCCGGGAAAGGTGGTACCGGCTCGTATGAGTTGAGCGGTGGAAACTTTCTTTGAGGTGTGATTTCCTCCTCCTTCTCCTCTTCATTTTGAGGATTTGTGCTTGGCAAAAAGATATCTTCCTCTTCCTCTCCAACATGGCTCTTTGCTTTTGCCTTAGCCATAACCAATTCTTTGCCACTTCTCAAAGTGACCGCGTGGGCTTGTTGCCTTGGATTTGGCTCCGTTTGAGATGGGAGTTTTGCCGAATCCTTAGCTTCAAGCCTACTCACGGCATTTGAGATTTGGCTCATTTGGTTTTCCAAATTGTGGATGCTTGATTTGGTCGTTTCTTGGAATTGGGTCACACTTTGTTGCATCGTAGCCATGTTCATGGCAAGTGATCGAATCGTGTCTTCGGTGGACATGCTCGAGTTCGATGTTTGACCTTGTTGTTTATATTGTTGAGGGGGAGGGTTTGATTGTTGAGGGGGTTGAGAGTTTCCGTACCTTAAGCTGGGATGATCCCTCCACCCCGGATTGTAAGTGTTGCCGTGAGGATCATATCTTCTTTGACCTTGGAAACCCAAAACATTGACTTGCTCGGGGTTCTCCTCTTGAAGTGTTGGGCAGGAATCGGTGGGATGCCCTTGTGTCGAGCATATGCCGCAGACCTTGACTTCTTGGGTTTTAGGATTCAAAAGAAAATCTTTAACCAAAGAAGTCAAGCCGGCCACTTGACTTTCCAATGAGTTGTTGGATTCCGCTGCCATAACTCTTTTTGATGATGACCTCCCATTGTAGTGTCTCGAGTTTTCGGCTAACTCCGAAATGAGGTCTCTTGCTTGGGAAGGGGTTTTGTTAACAATACCCCCTCCGCATGCCGCATTCACCATGCGTCTATCTTGATCAACAAGCCCATCATAGAAGTAGAGGATGAGATCTTGTTCCGAATACCCATGATATGGGCAACTAGCGCATAATTTTTTAAAGCGCTCCCAATATTCGTACAAGGTCTCATCATCCGCTTGCTCAATGTTGCTGATTTGCTTTTTGAGACTTGAAGAGATAGATGCGGGATAATACCTGTCGAGGAAGCTCTTTTTCATTTGAGCCCATGTGTTGATGCTACCCGAAGGAAGGTAGAAAAGCCAATCCTTTGCGGTGTCTTTTAAGGAGAAAGGGAAAGCCCTTAGCTTGATTTGTTCCTCGGACACGCCATTGGGACACATGCTCGTGCACACAATATGGAATTCCGAGAGGTGTTTGTTCGGGTCTTCCCCCCGTAAGCCATGGAAAGAGGGAAGTAGATGGATGAGCCCAGATTTTAGCTCAAATGTGACCCCTGTATCAAGAGTTGGAAAAGTGATACATAGGGGTTGTTGATTTAGATTCGGAGCTGTGAGCTCCCTCAATGTTCTTGTTTCATGAGCCATAGTGATTGGTTCTTCGGTTTCGCTAGATTGAGAACTAGCGCTTGATGATTCTCCCGAGTCGGAGTTTGAAAATTTGTTTTCAACCGCTCGAGAGTTCGTTCTATTTCGGGGTTTGAGTGGTATGTGATTTCGTTCAGTGAACGATATTTTACCATGTACTACAAAGCTCAGCAGAAATAGAAATCTTTATACTTGAACCATATTTTTTTTCTTTCTTTTTCTTAAAATAAAATAAAAAGAAAAATTAATTGCCTTTCCCCGGCAACGGCGCCAAATTTGACGTGCACTTTGTCGTGAGTGCACTCAAAGTAAATTCAACACTAACACTTATACGTAGTATAGGTGAAGTAGAGTTCGTATCCACAGGGAAAGGAATAACTTTCTTTTTATATAAATAGTAAATAAAGGGGGGTTTTGATTTTGAGTGATTTAATTTAATTAAACACGAAGATGAACGAGTTATATGGGATTAAATTCAAGAATAAAAGGGACTTGGTCTTGCTACTTTCCACTTGTTGATATATTTTAGTCGATCATTGTTATATCTATAACTTATCCCCTCTCGAATACTCAATCGAGGAGTATATCCAATTCATCGAGGGTAGTTATTAACAACGACCGTTCATTAATAACCGTTACTATTTATCAAATATAGAACAACGCCGTATACCGATATAACAGTAGCTTTTAACCTCTTTAACTCCTTGATGAAATCAATTAAGATTGATAACCTCAACGCAACGGTTTCGGTTTAACCAACAAAATTAATCCCTCTTAAGTTTATTAACCACGACCATGCATTAATAAACCGAAGTTACTTACTTATGAAACCTTCAACGTTTAACCATCGGTTCGTTGAACGTTTCTAGTAATAATCAATGTTGGAACGTTAACTAATCGTCACTTAGCCACCCTCCAACAATGATATAGAATGAGATTAAGGGAAGAATTAATAATCAAGAGGAGAAAGTAAGAAAATAACTCACAACTTTAATAATCAATCAAGCTTCAAGAGCAAAACCAAGAAATGGAAGTTTAGCTCCTCATTTGGAGACTAAACATGCTAAAAGAAATATAGAGAAATTTTATTCTAAACTGAGCTTAAGAGTATAAAGGAATTGGTCCCCTATTGTGAAGGAAAGAGGGTGAATTTATAGACTTTTGGGATGGGACTCGAGTACTCGATCGAGTATACAAATAGTACCCGATCGAGTATGTGTGAAATGCCAGATTCGAGGTTTACTCGATCGATTTTGGCTTAAAAATCAAAGGTGTACTCGATCGAGTATATATTCATACTCGGTCGAGTATGTGTAGAAAGTGATATTCGAGCCATACTCGACCGATTTCGGGTTTAAACTCAAAGGCATACTCGATCGGGTATGTCGGTCTACTCGATCGAGTATAGACACTGAATCGTGGTCAAAATCTTCCCGGCATGTTCTTTTGTCTTCGGATCCGATCTGATTTGAAGTTTCAACCTTATACCCGATCGAGTATAGGTAATACTCGACCGAGTATAGGCAAAAATCAGGGTTTTCCCTTTTTGTCTTGTGATTTGCACCTTCTTTCCACTTTTGGGGTTCACCAACCATCCTTTGAGTGATAGTAGACTTGTTTGAGCTCAGAATAATCCTAATCTAAACAATTTACAAGGATTTTAACAAACTAAACTATTACACCAAAAGTGTGTAATTTCCGAAACATTAAGCAACCAAAACTAGCTAAAAACATAAACATACACACGGAAATTACAAGTGTATCAACATCACTTTTATCTCTTTTGAACCAACCATTAAATATGAGATTTCTTAAAACAATTGCGATAATTTATTAATTGCCAATATTCATGGAGTACATATAAACTTCTATGCGGAGAAATTTAACTGATTGATAATCGATTATAAAAGTAAATTTTTAATCAAATGTCCAACTTCTTTTTATTATACAAAATTTGTGATGCGCACACTACATTCGGCTTTTGCTTCAAGATGCGCTTCTTCAAACCCCGTTTCGCTTATTCGATCGCCATTCGCACCAGGCTCGTTGCTCGTCGCCACCCACTCACAACACTGTCTTCTCCTCCAGCACACACGCAACACCCCGTCCTCCGGCTACTAATGGACGGCGGCTCTTGGGATCGTTGTTTGTTGGCCATTACCGTGATTAGAAGAAGACTAGGAGACGACCAATTGAGCCGATTGATGATTTCTGGTTCTGCGACATGCTGGAAGTCGGAGACTGAGTTCGATCTCGAGATGTTGTCAATTGAGCTTGTGTTTTCGGAGACAAGGGGAGTCTACTTCGTTGCTGGGTAATCCTTGCTGCTATTGGTCTCAATTGAGTTCATATTAAACTCAAGTGAGTATACACATGCATAAAAGGAATGAACATACACAAATGAATATTGAACACATTAGAAATGAGTTTCATGTTAAACTCTAATGAGTATAGCGCCTAAATTGAATGAGCACACTGAAAGGAGCTTTTAAAAATTTTTATACTCATTTTGTAAATTATGTATGCTCATTTGCGATTTTATGTTCATTTTAAAATGTTGCATATTTCAAAAATGCCATATTACATTAGATACTCATATTGAAATTCATAGGTGTAGATAACCGATATAATTCTATAAGATTTTATACAATAAAAAAAGAAAAAAAAGTGAATCAGATGATATGAATCAGAAATTACGATGCTCAATATTGAACTCCTAATACTCAATAGAATAGAAATGATTTTACTTGAACTGTTTTCTGTCCTAGACTAGACCAGACTAAATATAAACACACCAAACTAGACCAGGCTTAAAACAAAACGGACCATGTCGGACCAAACTTTTATAATTATGAAATACACAGACTTTTGTAATTATGAACAGACTAAATTAGACTGAACTAGACCTGCAATTTTCAGTCCAAGTAAAAACATACTCCTCAAAATTTGATGTTCACTAAAACACGCCGTTTTTTTTTCTTCGTATTCATTCGATTTTAGTATTTCGCATTTTATTTTGCCAAAAAAAGGCAAACAAGAAAAGAAGAAGAGGTAAATATCCTCCGCACTAGGCTACTAGCATCAAAGGGTTCTATCACCTGGTTCAAGTGATGGGAAACCCCAAGCAGAAATGGACATCCGAAGAGGAAGAAGCTCTTCGAGCTGGCGTGGCTAAGCACGGTGCCGGCAAGTGGAAACATATCCAGAAAGATCCTGAGTTCAACCACCTCCTACATTCTCGCTCCAACATTGATCTTAAGGTTTAATCTTTGATAAATTCCTTCGTTCTGTATTTTCTAAAATTTCGTGATGGTGGTTATATATTTTTGTTCAAAACAAGGACATCTACTCGTGCTTAATGGGTTTTAGGGTTGAGTTTATGTGCTTTGTGTTGGAAATCCCAAATTATCTCTTTATAACAGTGTGGTTTAGCTGTCCCCTTGTCTGAATAGGGGTGAAGGTTTTACTGGGATATACCTCCAGTTCACTATTTAGATTGTGCTCTAAAAAACTATAGTATTGGCTTCGATGAACCGTTGAATGATTTGTATCCTTGAAAGGCATGCATCAATGATGCTAAACTTAATAGCTACACACAACAATTGTTTCATATTCTGTTAGTCTTGGCTCCTGAGCTCATCTAAATTTGAGTCAATCCACCATCCTGATACTGTAGGGTGAGTAGTGAGTAGTGACACTTGCATAATGATGCTGTTTGGCATAGACGGGGTTTTCGGTCTACAGAAAAGTGGGACGAAGGGGTTAGTACAGGCTTGAAAATTTATAATTGAACATACTACTATGTTTGATTTAGGGAGTTATTGGTGGGTAATTGCAAATGGAAACTTAAACATGTTTTAGTATTTCTAACAACCAGTGGCATTACTGAGGGACGAAATTGGGGTGCACCGGATAAACAATTCATTTGTTTATTTTTTAAATATAAATTTTCACACATTTTTTACATTTGACAACGGTAACAATTGTTTATAAAGTTTTTTCTTACCAAAATTGTTGCGGACCTGCACATGGGTTCCTCCCAACGACAACAGTAATTGCATTACAAATTTCTCATAAGAATTTTCAAGTACTTAAGTCAACTCTTACTCTCAGAAGCAAGGATGAACTGGAAGTCGAGCAGAAAAGAAAGCTGGTCCTACTTATGGAAGCTCCAATCAAGTAGAAAAGAAACCAGTTAAGTGGAATCATATAGAAGAAAACAGTCTGATAAGAACAAAATAAAATTGTTTGGTAGAGAATAAGCACCTGCAATTATAGGGTTTTAGTTAGGTTAAACATTTCGAACCCGTTTGGTAACACTGAAATTGGTTGAATTGGCTGATTTTGCTGAAATTTATGAAGTTCTAGTTGAATTGGATGTATTGGCTGATTCTGCTGATTTGTGAATAAAATTATAATTTAAAATATGAGTATATTTTATTGATAAAATAAAGAAAAATTTATAGGAAAAAATAGCTAAAATGGTCATCTACAGTAACTTCAGCCAATACAACCAGAAAAGTAACTCCAGCTTTACTTTTTCTTATTACTCCCTCCGTCCCGCTATGATTGTCCCATTTTACCTTTTCGGTCCGTCCCACTAAGATTGTCTCATACTTATTTGGTAAACTTGTGTGGTTCTAAATCATTTCTACTTTATTCTTACTTTATCAATTCAATATCAACCACATAAACCCACTTTTATTAATAACCGTGCCACCTTCTCTTGTCCCAAACTTAGGGGGACGGAGGTAGTATTACACAATTCAGCGTTTGAAATCAAAAGTTATGCGTTTGGTTAAAAAGTTGGCTGATAAGCCTGATAAGTTGAAAAACAGAGTCACCAAACGGGCTCTTCATATTAAAATCTGACTACAGAATCTAAAACACTTCATAAAAAAACAAGTCTGGTTGAGCTAAACTACAAAAGAGCCAATTTTCATGTAAAATGGTCCATCTTTGCATAATACGGAGTATTAGAGACGTAAGCTTCAACCAGCCACCTGGGTGAGCTGTAAGCTTCTCATTGACAGCCAGAAGCAGAAGTTTTGTGGCGAATAACCAATTATTTATAGCTTCACGTTGAAGTTGCTCTGATTTCTTTAGCCTCACTTCTAAGATATGTGCAAGTAGTATTTGGTTTCATAAGTAGTAAGATACCTGGATGGGAGTATATCCATCACAGAATTAGTCTTATTGTGGTGCTTGGTGAAATTATGTATATCTTATGAACTAATGAACTTGCTTTTAAAATGCAAATTTATGCTTAGTGGGCATAAAATTTCATACAAGAGGTTTATTGTATTATTATATCATTTTTAGGATAAATGGAGGAATCTGAATGTAAGTGCCAATGCACAAGGCGGACCAAGGGATAAATCGAGGGTTCTAAAGCTAAAGGCTAACCCTGATGCTCATATGACTCCGGTGCCCAATGCACTGACCACCAATGCTCCCCCCATTCTACTATTACAGGATGCAGGGGGGGCAGCAGATACCATGGTTGAGGATACAACAAAATGTTTATTAGACGGGAAAACTGCTTCAAAGTAAGGTTTCTTTTTCTGTGCCAATGTAATTCCCATCTTATGCCTAGGAAGTCATACTTAATATCTCTGCCCCTGTTATTCCTATGTTACTTTTAGCAATACTATACTCCTAGTAACTTAGTAAGGGCTCATATAAGCTCATGTAATATATGAACCCAGTCATAATATCTATGTGTGTCCAGTAAAACTGACATGAATTTTACTGTTAAGAAGATTATTAAACAAGGAAAGTTGAAGACTTTCAGACATGGCTTTCACTGAGCATTCGTCTAGATTCCTAGAGATGGTAGCAGATTGGGTACCCACCCATCAAGCAAAGTCCAAACATCACTTCTTATAATACTGCCCATCCCAAAACCCGCTTATAAAAAAAGAATACTCCCTCAATGACTCAATCACATAATAAACATACCACTAATGTCACGAGAATTGATAAAGTATGATTCATGGTTGAAATGTATTTAGGAAAAGGAGAAATAATATGAATCACACATCTCTTTCTCTAAAAGAATTTGGAATTTTATTTTGGAACAAATAAAAAGGAAAATAAATTTATTTGTATAATTATATATATTTGTTTGATATAAATATTAAATACCTATAACTATATGCAAATTTATATGTGTACTAACACACACAAACACACCTTTCCCAAATATATTACTTTATTTCAATATACTTTTTACTGTATATTAGTTGAAAAATCCATTAAGTACAGCACAATGTCATTTTTATCCTGTAGGTATGCACTGCTAACTTTTTTTTTACCACAAACTACATTTTTATGATATATTTTCTATTGTTATAAAACTCGCTAGTCGCTAGTCAGGCGGTTGAGGGGCGCCTAGCGTCTAGGCGGCTGACTAGGCCGATTTTTTGACCGACTAGGCCGACTAGGCCTCTACAGTTAGGGCCGATTAGGCCGCCTAGGCCGATTTTTAGAACAGTGATATTTTCCCATTGACCTGTTTAGATATGATTTTTGGTCATTTTACCTCTTCGATCCCTTTCTCTACTATTTTGGAGCCTAGGGCTTGATCAAGAAGCATACAAGTGATCATTATCAAGATCCTCAATGCTTGAAACTGCCATCATCTGGACTCTGACAGTAATAATCAATTCTATTTCTCTAGGGATTTTTTTATTAATTTATTCAGGGTTTATCATTTAAGGTTTAGGATTTAGAATTTGGGGTTTAGTCGCGGTGGCGACAGGTGGTAGTACGGGGGCAGGTTATTTTATTTTTTATTATAGAAATAACTGTCATTATTAATTTATTTTGATACGTGCATGATGGTCAAATTTAGAGATTTTAATGCTAATTTTGTCTTAATATGTAAATTATGTGATATTGGTAAAAAAAGATGTGCATGATACGGTAGTCGATTCCTCCCTTATTATGTAGTTATTCTCAAGAACCCATTAGTATTTATATGTTTGGGTATGACCACTACAACCTGAACCTAACATCTTAACACGATATTTTTTCTCTCCACTCCAACCCACTGTATATCCTTTACTATCTACCTTAATCAATCCCACTAGGGCTCAGGTGGGTCGGGTATCTGCAACAGTTCGCCCTGCGCCTATCTGCTATCTCTATACATTTCCTTTCATGTCAGAAAACATGGGGTCATTAGCAATTTGATCTACTTAAACTTTACACATCCACACTTCAGGCATGCCCTTGTCTCACGATTTATTTCATTATCCTATTATACCTGTTGAGAGTTTTTTTGTCTCTTGATGATTTAAACTCTTCTTTCAAATTACATAATTCAATTTTTTTTAGGTACAATGCAATGATTACTGAAGCACTTTCGACTCTAAAGGATCCAAAGGGATTGGATATAACAACAATTGTCAGTTTCATTGAGGTATGTATACAATTTTGAAATTATTTATGTCTCATTTCCCTATTTTGATATATGCCACCCCATCATCACGTTATAAACCCCTTTATGTGTTTTCTTAGCAGACTTGTATAAATTTTATGAAAGCAAGCACTTACATATAAGTATTTTTGAAAAAAAAAGGTTATATCCATATAACCCTGTCCATATTACTAATCTTCATGTACCAACTACCAAGTAAGAAAGGATGCATTGAAACCCTAAACAATAGCCCTACAGAATGGCCTAGCCATCTAGTGTTATTTACTTGTATGTTGTATATATGTCTTCACTTGTTTGTACTAGGAATTCCTCATTATGGAAAGTTCTTAGTTCACTTGTACTCTAAGGAGTGTGCTTGGTTGGAGGGCGTAGGATAAAAGGAACAGAATGAAAAGTGATAAGTGATTTTGATCCCTCATTCCCATTACAAAAGGATGCAAATCAAATTGTTCACTTCCCCATTCATCTTCACCATCATACCCATTCCCATTACTTTTACCAAGCACCCCTAAGTTCCAACTAATGAGTTGAAAGTGGCAATTTGTTATTATTATTGTTATCATTGTTTTTGGCGTTGTTATTACTTATTACAGCTGTTAGTAATATTATTATTTAAGTACAGCAAAGGCATGAGGTACCCCCAAATTTCAGACGGATACTGAGTTCTAGGTTGAGGAGGCTTGTTCAACAAGACAAACTCGAAAAGGTAGTTTGTACCTACATTTGAACATGTTCTTCAATCACTTACCTTCATCTAAACTACTTTTGCCACCAAAGTGGAGGATCATCTGTCTCTTACCATATGCATACATGTTTTTTGTTGTTTAACTTTGTTTTTTCCATTTGTCTTGTAATAAGGTCATACCTGGTGCTAATTGTTAACTGTATAGAAGTTGGTATTAGAATTGCCTTCAAAACGACCCCACCCCCACTTTAACTGATGTCAGCCCATTTGTGACGGCTTAAAACTGACAAGAGCTATGTTTTGTAAAGGGGCCCCAATATTTATCTTCTGAAAAACATTGTTTAATTTGATACTGAGTTTATGGCTATATGCTAGTACACCACCCATTTGCTGGACACTCTTAAGTCTTCATATACTAATTTATAGTATGAAGTACAAATAACAAAAAGGTGTATGCCTATGGCAATTAGTAAATAATACGGAGTATAGTCATACACATATTTATCTTTAAAAACAAAGTAGACGTGAAAGAGACAAATTGTATTGAAATAAGAAAATAAAATGTATTTGTGATGACAATCTTTGAAATATATCCTTACACTACTATAAGATATTCATTGTTGAATAACTGCTGATGTCTTTTTGACTGGATCTCATGGAATGAGTAATTTCATTTCCATATCAATTAAGAATCAAATGTTGCAAAAGTTATTTCAGTTTTGATTTTTTAAAGGTATTGGCTGCCAGGTGGCAGCTAACTATTGGCTATTGCAAAAGCTTTGAGCCACCAAATAGTCCAGTGTGGAAGTATGTAGTCTCTTTTGTTAGTTTGTTCATTATGATATGGAATTATGGGTACAGATACAAAACTGCTTTAGGATCAAGAAAGAGTACTTACTTGGTGCATCTACAACCCCTATTCCCACCCCAACTCCAACCCTGATTCCAAGGCAGGAGAGTAGGCCAAAGGAGGAAGTACAACATACTGGTGGCTATCTTGGGAATACAGTAGATGAAGCAGCTACAGAGGCTGCCTACAGGATTGTGGAAGCTGAGAACAAATCATTTGTGGCAGCTGAAGCTGTCAAGGAGGCTGAAAGGGTCTCCCGAATGGCTGAGGAGAGTGATGTTCTGCTTCAGCTGGCGAAGGATATCTATGATAAATGTAAAAAAATTACGCATGTTAGATTTTTTCGTTCTAGTTTCGTAAAAGTTGCTGCCTGACCCTGATTAATGCCTGTCTAGATGCTAGTCTCCCTTCTTAGGGTCTGCTTGGGTGGGAAGGATTTCGGGGGCTTGGTCAGTATCTTCTTAAGTACAGTGTTTCTAAAAAAAGTCATACACATTCTATAGGATCACATATAATGTAGTTAGTCTTTCAATTTTTGTTGTTATCAAATATCAAATTTCACATATAATGTGCACGGTGCACATGTGGCATGAGTGATAGCCACATACATATTAGCATATAAATTATCTCTCTCCTTATTTGAATGATTTTATACAATTTTGATAAGTTTTTCTCTGCAATGTCAACAACAATGTCAACATCTAGGCGGTCTCCTTGACATTGTGGAGAAAAACTTACCAAAATTGTATAAAATCAATCAAATAAGGAGAGAAAGAATTTATTTACTAATATTTATGTGGCCATTTCTCATGCCACGTGTGCACCGTGCACATTTTACTATTGGAGATGCTCTTAGGGTCTGGTTGGGTGGAATGTATTTGGAGGGCTTGGTCTGTATCTTCTTGAGTAGAGTGTTTCTAAAAATAAGTCATAGACATTCTATAGGTACACATATTGTGTACCTAACCTCCCCAAACCAAATACATGCGTGAAGGTGTATAGATTAACACTAAGACTTCCAAAGCTGTCCTCCCCAAACCAATGTCTCAGACTTAGATCCTCCCTAACCTCATCCTGACCACCTAGAAGGCAGCTTGAACTATTTTTTGCATCACCCCACGCCTACACGCTTCACTTCATGTGCAAATTGTTTTTACTATCTTATCTGATGATTTTGCATCTTTTGTTGCTGTTCAATGGACAGGTGCACGAGGCGAGATTGTGCTACTGGCCTAGGCTGTGGCATGTAGATAGTTTAGGTGTAAATCAGTGATTTAGTGTTCATTTCTTCTTATCGGTTCAATGTGACTGCAATATGTGCTTTGTAAATTGGGGTCACATCCTTGTTGGCTTGTTGCATCTTATACCTTCTTTTTTCTGAAGAAATATACGATTATTAAAACTTTCATTTTTCAACTTTGTGACTCAGTGGTTCTTGTTTTTTCCTGTCTACTTCTGTGATTTGTGAGCATGTGTAGTAATAGGCTTACACTAGTCAGAATGTATCACGTGTTCAAACAATCACAGTTCCTATTTTCTACTACTATGTAAATAGGGGCGGACTCGGGGCGGTTTGGGCTTGGGCCCGGCCAGGCCTCGGTTCATGAAAGGGGAGGCCCGGAACCGGCCCGGGTAACCCCCGGGTCCGGTTCGGGCCGGCGGGTCGGTTCAAATTGTGACCGGGCCGGGCCGGTTCCGGGCCGCCCGGTCTCAGTCCACCCCTATATGTAAACACCTCATTGCATTACTTCCAAAGTTCCAAGTTCGTTCCATTAGTTTTTTGTGCTCTAAATAGCGTTTGACCCGAAGTTGCCACTTGAAGGAGTTGGAGGTGCATTTGATCCAAGTTCCAATAGTACTAATAATAGTAACAATAATAGTAATAATGAAATGCGTGACTTTGCAGAAAGTTGTAAAAGATACCGAGTACTTCTTTTGTGGTTATGGTTACATACTTACGTAACAGATTACTTAAATCATTAGATTTCCTGGAGTTTGACATTTTTAAATGTAAAATTTGAGAAATTTAAAATGTGACTAATATTTGAAAAAGTTTAACTAGTATAAAGTATAACTAGTATTTAAAAAACTACTTAACATGTCACTGGTACTTGAATAAAGAATGTAACTAGTATAAAACAATTATGTGACTACTAAAAACACTACTTACGACAAAAATGTGACTACTTAAATAAAATGCGACCACTTAAATATAATGTGACTAATATTTAAATGTGCTTAAATGATATAAATGTGACTAGTACAATTATATTTAATACTTTCATTTTGTAGTATGTGCTTATATAATTATAAATAATATAGTATATGTAGTATAATATGTACAATATTATAACGTAATTATGTAAAAAGTATAATTATAACTAGTATAACTACATTTAATACTTTAATTATGTAATATATACACTTATATAAGTAGAGGTAATTTATCATAAGTAGTATAATACGCATTACAATATTATAATGTAATTACCATGTAAAAAGTGTGTATATATATATATATATATATATATATATATATATATATATATATATATATATATAACTAAACTAGTATTAGACGACGAATAATATAGTTATACTTAATACTTTTATTAAATAGATGACAAATATATATTGTACTACGTAACTAATATTCTAATGTAACAAACCATAGTATTATATATAAGTAAATACACACACAAGTATAAATGAATTTATTAAATATTAATGTAAATTGAAGAACACATGAATAGAGAGAATGAAGGTGTAGAAAATTATTTGAATTTGAGCGAGTATTTATAGATTTTTTAGGCTACCTCAAATCCTAAACATCCCTACTTCCCCCACGCTCAAACCCCCCAAGCCCAAAACTAGCCGTTTTAGCCATTAGATGAACACAACCCCCAATGGCTAGATGAAGAAATCCCCCAAAAATGATCGGGTAACAGTGGATTGATTCCGATGGGATTGGTCATAGCTAGACCAGCCGGAAAACTTGTCCCGGGCCGATCTCAAACAACATCGGGGCGGTCGAGATTGGCGGACTGGGTCCATTCCTACTACTATAGTAAATGGATGACACTCTTTCTTTTAGAATTCTCGATACCATCTAGACAATTAACTGAGATGATATAAATTAAACTTTGATCATAGATAACGAATGAAAACAAATAACCCTACTACTATAGGCACTCTTTATTTTTCTCGTGCCACACATTCCAACAATCACTATCTAATGTATAGGGAAATGGGTGAAGTTGATTTGTCATGCATATAAAATAGAATTTTGCTATAGGTACCCCAAACCCTACCCCATTTGTACCCCATATAAAAACACCCCCCACTTTTCTTCTCCCCTCTCCCCTCTCTCCTGCACCCCACCTCTCTTCCTCCCTCCCTCCCTCTCCTCTTTTTCACGCACCCCCTCCCTTCCTCTTTCTTCTCCATTTCAATATCTTTCTCCTTCTTTAAAACTTCCCATTTTTATCATCACCTCTCCTCCAACCTCCGATCTTCTCCTGCTTATCCCCTCTTCCACCGGTGACCTTGCCGACGACGGCCCTACGCCGGTTGCCGACGGCGGACCTACGTCGGTTGCCATTTCGGATGCAACCTCAAGGGAAGACAACAATGAAGACATACCAAGAAGCTTTGAATAACTTGAGCAACATATCTTCTTTTCTTGATTTTGTTTTCTTGATTTTTGATGTATTTTGGAAATAAAAGGGGTTGTCTGTCTGCCAGACAACTTGAAAGTGCAGTGTCTGTAAGAGTCGTGAAGTTGTCTGTCCTTTGAAAAAAAATGTATGTAATTGATATTTAATTGTTTGTCATTTGTTTATTAGTTGTCTGTATTTGTTTTGAGTTGTCTGTAATGATTTGTCTGCCATGTTGTTGTGAGGTGTCTGTAAAAGTCGTGAAGTTGTCTGTAACTCATATTTAGTTGTTTGTCATTTCATTGTGAGTTGTAAGTAATTTGTGGTGAAAAATAATGTTTGTCTTGTTATCTTTATTGTCTGTCTAGTTATATGTATAGTCTGTCTTTTTTATGAAACATATGTCAAAATGGTAATTCACAAAAAAACTAATGTTTGTATGTGTATACTTATGTCTGTATGTGTATATTTAATGTTTGTCTCGTTATACTAATTACATCTCAAAAAATAAACATCAGTAAATTACATACAGACAACTCAAAACAAATACAGACAACTCAAATTAAATGAAAAACAATTAACCATCAATTACTGACAGACAGACACTGCACTTACAAGTTGTCTGTCAGACAGACAACCCTTTTAATTTTGAAAAAACACCAAAAAATCAAGAAAGGAAGATCCACTCAAGTCATTCAAAGCTTCTTGGTCTACACCTTCATTGTTGTCTCCCCATGTATCCAACATCACCGCAGCTCTCCCCGTTCGTCCAAATACTGTAGCTTGTGCATTTGAAATGAATAAAAAAAGACAGAAGAGGAGAGAAGCATTAGAAGAAGCTTGGAGGGGGGAAAGATGGAAAAAAATGAGAAGTATTAATGAAGGGGGGAGATCTTGAAATGGGGAAGAAAACAAGATTTGGAGAAAAGAGAAAGGAAGGGGAGGGGGTGTGGGGGGTGCGTGAAAAGAAGGAGAGAGGGTAGGAGGAGAGAAGAAAAGTAGGGGAGGGTGGAAGGGGAGAAGAAAGTGGGGAGGGTTTTTATATGGGGTAAAAAATGGGGTAGGTTTGGAGTATCTATAGCAATTCTGTATAAAATAACTAGGGGCGGCGTTTAAAAAGAATTTGGAAAGAATTTGGCCATAGGCCCAAAAAATGAAAAGAATTTGGAATTCGAATTTTTCTTTATAATTAGGCAATGCTTGCAAACGTTTAAAAAATACTTTTAAGTTTTTTGTGTGTCTAAAAGCTAAAAATGAAGTTTGAAAAAAAAATGGGAAAAATAAATAAAGTATCCCAAACTTTGAAGAAGTGTGAGATAAACACCCCAAACTTTCATATGTAATTTAAATAACCCAAACTTTATATAAAAAGTTACTTTAGCACCATGGTCATTTTATTTTTCAAAAATAGAAATTTACGGTGTTAGTTGCATAATTTAAAATAGCAAATTAAAAATGTTGCAATTATATAGAATGAGAGTAGTATTTTTTTATTTTACAACGAAAGTTTAGAATATTAATTATATATTAATGAATGCTAAAATATTTTAAATTATGAGATTAATACCACAAATTAACATTTTTGAAAGAAATAATGCATGACCATGGTGCTAAAATAACTTTTTATATAAAGTTTGGAGTATTTAAAATACATATGCAAGTTTGGGGTGCTTACCTCACACCCCCTCAAAGTTCGGGGTATTTTAATTATTTTCCCAAAAAAATATCAACTTAATGTAAGCAGTTTTAAGCCAAAAATACAAAGTTATATCAAAGATGCTTTTAATTGCTTCTAGTTTTTTTATATAAAGTATAAACAAGTCAACTTTGTTGACAAATTATATTCTTGGCTTCTTGCATGTGTAAAAATACCCTTCTACGAGATTCAATTCTGAGCTAATATAGTAGTCCTCAGCTGATAAAGTGATACATCATGTCATCCCTCAACTTTCTTCTTCAACTAATGCTGACCTCATTACAAATAAATTATGGAGTATTATCATCACTAATTTATATCAACGATTTTTTTGTATAAATTAATTATACCTACGATTAATTTAGTAGATTGATTGTTACAATATAAATGTGCATCCTGTTGCTTCAGCATCCGGGGATGATGACGGGGGGCGAGTCCAAGGAGACAGCGGCGTCCATGACAAATCTCATGCAATCGTGAAAAGACTTGGTTTTTGAGGAGGTGTAGGGCTGGATTCTGGCCGGGCCTAGGCCCGGGTGGGCCGCCGGTTCTGAATAGTTGGGCCCGAGACCGGCCTGGGCAGCTACCGGGTACGGTCTGGGTCCGGGCCGGGCCTCAGGCCTCTTTATATATATATTTTTGCTTTTTCTAATTAACCCCCCCCCCCCCCAGCTCCCCCCCCCCCAAGAAAAAACACCCAACCCAACTCGTTGGAATAAAAAATGAAAAAACATAAAAAAAATTGATTTTGGCTCGAACAGGGCCTGGGCTCGGCCAGATCTCGTTTTGAAGGAACCGTGTCAGGAACCGTCTCCCCCTCGGGCCGGGTCAAAGCCCGGTACCCGGATCGGTGAACCGGGCCGGTCTCGGGACCGCACAGTAGCGGACCGGGCCGGTTCACGGGCCAGGTGGCCCGACTCGAGTCCACCACCGAGGAGGAGGAGGGCAAGGAGCGGCCTGAAAATTGTGAAGAGCTTGTCGAGGGGGAAGACAAATCGACAGTTCGTCCTCCTCCCGAACCACCGCCTAGGGGGGAAGATCTTGGATTAGAGGAATCCAGGGCGGGTAGCGGTGATCTTTTTTGGGCGAAAGAAGACGAAGAGATGTTGATTCGTCTCCCTCCTGAACCGCCGCCATGGAGGAATTGTGCGACTAGGGTTTGGAAGTCTATTTCTATTTCTGTTTTAGTCTGTGTTTTTACTTCGATATTCATGTTGTTTTGTTTGTCATGTACGTTTATTTTCGCCAGACTCTTACATTAGGTGGGGGTGATGAGGGTTTGCTCTGGCCACGTTAAGCTCATTTAGACCCACTACAAGATCAGCGAATCATATTGCTCTGTCTAGGGTGATTAGTTCTCCAGCTGGTTCGAGGGTCGGTGACTGTTTTGTTGTCAATATAAGCCTCCTTGTTACAAAAAAAATTGTGTTGGTATATGTTATGCATTACCTAATCTTAAACTTAAAGTACACCCGCCAGCACAATGATAAAATACACCAACATATAATTAAAAATGCAATTAAATGTAAGGAAAATTGTCAATATGGTCCTTGCACAATCACGCAAACGTCAATTAAGCATTTAAGTCTTCGTACTTTTTAAAAAATAATTACATTCCCGAACTTTTTAAAAATGTTCAATTGAGTATATTAGCAGGTTACCCACCACGTCAGCAAGCCACATGCTCACGTGATACACATGTGGCAACTCAATCATCAATGACTCTACTGACATGGCATGCATGTGGAAGCTCAATCATCAGTAACTTTGCTGATGTGGAGCGCATGTGGAAGCTCAGCCACCCATTTAGCGATGTCGTGACACACACATGGATCGCCACGTCAGCGAATAACCTGCTAATATGGCAGGTAATCTGCTGATTGACTCAATTGAACATTTTTCTAAAATTTGAAGTTTTGATTGATTTTTTTTTAAAATATGAGAATTTTTTGGGGTGAAATTGTCAATGCATCAGATATTTTGGGGGCAAATTGCAACCGGTCTCTCTCATTTGAGGCTTTGTTTGCAAGTGCTTGTGTTTAAATATGTTGAGTTTAATCCAACACGATATAGTAAATATATGTATGAACACTCAGTTTTTACGTGGAAACCCGAAAGGGAGAAAACCACGGGACTTTTTAGGCTAATGTCCAAGCCCTCTCATTCTCATTAGGACTCTCCTCACCATTACATAGTACAAGTATTGAAGCTCCCATTAATGGAGTTCTAAGCTATTCTAGTGAGAAGGAGGAAGAAGAAAAAGATCCCTAACATGTGGGAAAGCCCCATATTTATAGGGGTAAGGGAAAGGGGGAAACCTAACCTAATGGGCCAAGTAAGCCCAAAATGGGCCCAAAGGTCCGAAACATGCCTAATAGGCTGAAATGGACCTTGTCATTCGGGTTCCAAGCTGGGGCGATGCCTTGGGCTCCTGAACAGTAACAAATCGGGGTAATATACCTCAACACAAGTCCCCCAGTTTCTTGAGTAGTGAGCGTGTGAATCTGCTCGAGAAAGTATACTCTTGCCTACGCTCTTCCTCTGCCTTCTTTGCACATGACCCCGGCTTTCGGAGCAAAGGCTTAATTCAATGCCTTGGCCTGGGTGCGAGGGATTGGGGCGTTCGGCCCACGGATGCCCGACCCGACTTCCTTTGGACGTTCGACCCTTAGGAACTCGGCCTAGATGTGTCCTTGCTCTTGATGCACGACCCGGTAGCAGACCTCGGAGTCGTCATACAGCGACAATCCTCGGCCTATTCCTAGAGACGTTCGACCTCCAGATGCTAGGTTGGGCTTCCTTGGACGTTCGGCCCCTTGACGGTCAGCCCGCTCGATCCCTCGTTGTTGGGGCTCTGGGATTTTCCTTCTGGATGCTCGGCCCGACATGTTTAGGAAGATTAGTCCCTAGAAACCCGACCCAACTTCCTTTGGACGTTCATCCCTAGAAACTCGGCCTAGACGTGTCTTTGCTTTTGATGCACGACCCGGTAGCAGACCTCGGAGTCGTCATACAGCAACAATCCTCGGCCTATTCCTAGAGACATTCGACCTCCAGTTGCTAGGTTGGGTCTCCTCGGGACATTTCTACCTCAACATGCTTAGCCTGGGCATGCTCGGTCTCAGGATGTGTTGCGCATCTCAAAGCCCTCGGCCTCTAGGGTGGAGAAGCTCGTCTCCCGACCCTCGGCCTCCGGCGTGAAAGATGTTCGTCCCCAGGCTTTGGCCTCCAGGTGATGGATGATCGTCCCTGAGCTCTGGCCTTCGGGTGAGGGATGATCGTCCCCAGGCTTTGGGCTCCGGGTGATGGATGTTTGTCCCCGGGCCTAGGCCACTGGACGATAGATGATCGTCTTCGGGCCCTCGGTATCCGGGGTGAGAAGATGCTCGTCTCCAAGCCCTTGGCCTTTGGTGGTCTTCTTTTAGACGCTCGGCCTCCGGGTGGAAGATGCTCATCCCCGGGCCTAGGCCACTGGACGATAGATGATTGTCTTCGGGCCCTCGGCATCCGGGGTGAAAGATGCTCGTCCACGGCCCTTGGCTTTTGATGGTCTTCTTTAGATCCTCGGCCTCCGGGTGGAAGATGCTCGTCCCCGGGCCTGGGCCACTGGACGATAGATGATCGTCTTCGGGCCCTCGGCATCTGGGGTGAAAGATGCTCGTCCACGGCCCTTGGCTCTTGATGGTCTTCTTTAGATCCTCGGCCTCTGGGTGGAAGATGCTCGTCCCCGGGCCTAGGCCACTGGACGATAGATGATCGTCTTCGGGCCCTCGGCATCCGGGGTGAGAGATGCTCGTCCACGGCCCTTGGCTCTTGATGGTTCTCTTTAGACCCTCGGCCTCCGGGTGGAGGATGCTCGTCCCCAAGCCCTTGGCACCAAGGTTCATTTTGAACATCATCTCTTATCTGACTATGATCTTAATCTGCACAATGAACATAGTAACGCGGCCAAATGGCCAGACAATATGTATATGTGCACACTTTTTGTTTTTTTTTGTAGGTCGGCTTGGGGCTCTTCCGGGCATGACGGTCGGCCTCGGAGTGCGATGACCTTCGGCCCGGCCCATCACCTAGTTCTTCCGGACATGAGCGTCGGCCTTGGGGTACGATGACCCTCGGTTCGGCTCATCTCCTAATTATTAAATTAAAAACCCGGTGGAAGCTCATCCCCAAGCTTCGCTCGGCATTACTTATTTTGGGACATTTTAATCCCTATTAAATAATGGTGATAAAAATACTAGTAACAAGAAGTACTAGTTAAAATTTAATTAGCAATTGAGATACTCAATACTTAGCTCCAGGAGACGCTCGGCTAGTGGGGTTATGCGAAATCAGTTTTGCTCCCTTAGTTGTTGATTTGACTTGGTCAACATTAGCAATCATGGATCGAGGTCCATGCTTCGTTCTAAATTCCCCTGATTTCACCAATTTTAACTTGGATGCCTCAAAGGGACGCTCATCTCCACGTGAGACAATTAAAGCCACATGCAGAGCGTCTAGCAAAGATCTCTTCCCGGCGGAATTTTGCCATTGATGGTTTGGGGCGGTGGGCGTGGACCCGGCCGAGTAAAAGTGGGAGCCGTGCGTCTGGCTTCTCGCCTGCATGGGGCTGAGCGGTAGCGAGACCTGCGTCAAACCAGCCATTATCGGCGTCCGAGCTGAGGCTGGTCAAGCTCATAGGGTGTCCGAGCTATCCAGAGGCTGAGCGGCGTCCAGGACCTGGCCGCCTTCCAATACCGACCGGTGTCAATGTCATCGTAGCAGTCAACGTGACTGTCGTTCCATTGGAGAAACCTTGAAGGGACCGAGCGGCGCCAGATCATGCTACCGTAGATGGCCGTCACATTAAGGTTGGGCCGTGCAGGGTCTATGGAGCGGATCGGTCGTTTCTCAGGAGCGTTCTGATCGGGCCCCACGTTGGCCGCCCATCGGCCTTATGAGGACTCTCTCTTAGTTCCGGGACGAACAGATGTAGGCACTGGAGCGGGTGGCATTCCCTGGAAAAAACGAATTAACCAGACGATCATCCGCTGGCAGATCTTGTGCTGAGCGTGATGGGCTGTTGTTCTTTTTGTCACTCTGTTCCAAGTGGTTGCACTCCTCATTGGTCTCTATTTGCTTCGCCATCCGCGCTTCAGGAGCAGACTCCCGTCGGTTCCAGTCAACTTCTTCAAGAAGGTTGCCATCGAAATCTGATCAACGAGCTTCAGGTGAACCTTCTTCGAGCTGGAGGGGTGGTCTGCGGATGACGGCCGACGTTGAGGGGCGGTGCGGCGACCCAGGAGATGGCCAGTGGCGAAGCCTGAGGTACTGTGCTGCGTGCGGTGCGGCCTAGGACGCTGCTGGAGCTCCATCTGGTGCAGCTCCACTCGCCGGAGGAGTTCATGGCGGCCGGAATGGTGACGGTGGTCCTCCTGACCCTAGCCCAGATCTAAAAACTCTCCTCTTCCTTGGTGGAATCAGCAGCTTCAATTCCTCCTGCTTCCCTTACCAGAATCCTTTCTCTTTAATTTCTTCTTCCTTTTTCTCGTCAAACCTCCTTCATCCTGCTTGTTTTCCTGAATAGATTTTCTTTGTTGGGAATCGGTACTTTTTGTATGATTTCTTCTTGTAGAAACTCAAGAACAGTATAACACATGAATCTTTTTGGACAGATTCCCACAGACGGCGCCAGTGTTGAGTTTAATCCAACACGATATAGTAAATATATGTATGAACACTCAGTTTTTACGTGGAAACCCGAAAGGGAGAAAACCACGGGACTTTTTAGGCTAATGTCCAAGCCCTCTCATTCTCATTAGGACTCTCCTCACCATTACATAGTACAAGTATTGAAGCTCCCATTAATGGAGTTCTAAGCTATTCTAGTGAGAAGGAGGAAGAAGAAAAAAATCCCTAACATATGGGAAAGCCCCATATTTATAGGGGTAAGGGAAAGGGGGAAACCTAACCTAATGGGCCAAGTAAGCCCAAAATGGGCCCAAAGGTCCGAAACATGCCTAATAGGCTGAAATGGACCTTGTCATTCGGGTTCCAAGCTGGGGCGATGCCTTGAGCTCCTGAATAGTAACAAATCGGGGTAATATACCTCAACAAAATAAAAGCATTTTTTGGGAAAAAGTGATTAATAGTAAAAGTTGATAGTGTTTGGTAAAATAAGTGTTTTTTATGTAATAGAAAAAGTAAAAAGTAGATTCTACACGAGGTAAAAGTAAATTCTACACGATTGTGTTTAATAAAATAATTTTTTTTTTTTAAATTAAGGACCTGCGAAAACAGCATCTAGAGCAGAATCGATTGGGTTAAACACGACGAGTTTCAAAATTTTGCGAATCGCCTCCGTATTCTGAGTGATTTCATCTAGTCCATTCGCCAGGAACAACCCATAGCCGGAGGAGAGAGTACTATTGAAGCGGTAAGCAAGTTGAAGTCAAGCGCGCTTTTTCCAAGGACTCTAACAACTCCAACTCTGGAGGCCGACTCAAGCAACAGGTACAAAGCCATGGGTGTGTAATTTAAATATTCTGATTTAGCTTACTGTAAGCTAGAAGTCTAGAACTATCAGTGTTTATGTATATAGGGATAAAGATCAATACGGACAATTAAAATGTCATTAAAGCAGATACCGAACTTTGGGTTCCTGTGATTTTGATTTAAATGTAAGTGGAAAAAAAAGAAGACAAATAGAATGCTTATTGCCCCCCAGAATAGCTGTAACGCAATGTCCCACGCTGCATGCACATTTGTACATTCTCATCAGTCTATATAAATAGACCCTTCATGTTGGTGAAGGCAACACACAATTTATAAGATCGATCTGATTAGTTAACTACACTTACATACATACATACTAGCTAGCTACATAGCAAGCCAGCCTTAACACCGATTATAATTATTTTAATCTAGCTCCTAAAGTTTGAGAGTATAGATAACCATGAATCACTTGGCTTTTGTATTTGGCCTTCTAGGCATGTAATCGATTACAATATTAGAGTATAAGTGCTCTTAACCTACATTATTGCATGAGGTAATGTATTTCTCAATGTTCAATTACCATAAGCTAGCCCTTGGTTGGTCTCCTAACATGAAATACACACATGCATAACAGAAATAATGGCTAGTATTACAGTTAAATAGTAGCCATGTGTACAAATAAGGGGGCATTCTAGTTTTTCCCTAAAAGTGAATATATATATAAATAAGAAATACACGGATCGAGAAAATTATTAGCTCAGGGCTTAAACTATCAGTGTCTAAGTTTTTAGAACAATGAAATCCACCACCAACACAGTATGTTTACATTTTGTGTGTTCTTTCCTTTTTTCCATTGCTGGGCAAGTCGATAGAACACAAATATGTACATCATACATTTTACTAAACACATCAACAATTTATATGCATAAATGCACTGCTAGAAAATTATGATAGATTTACCCAAAAGACTAATTTAGCACTTTGAAACTATAACTGACAATCTTACTAAATAGTCTCTCACACATACTCCCTCCGGTTCTAAAATTAAGTTCCTGGTTTGACTTCACACATATTAAGAAAATAATTTTACTGAGGGGTAAATTTTATTGTAGAGTACACTGTTGTGACATTGTTTGACAATGTTTGGCACTGCTTGACACTGTTTTGCACTGTTTTGGTGTAGATTTGTGTGCCAAATAAGGAAGTGTGACTTGTTTGGGACATCCAAAAAAGGAAAGTAGGAACTTAAATACGGGACGGAGAGAGTATGATATAAGTATATAATACGGAGTACTTCATAAACTGTGCAAGTTGTATAAGAACAACCTTCTCTAGAATACTAGAGATATACATTTTTGTTCATATCCTACTATCCTAGTAATCACCCTGGTATTCTTCCATATATCCTGTTTGGTTGCTGAAGATAATTGGTTTCAGATGATTTTCAATGTCTCATTAGTAAGCAATGACAGCTAAAATGATTGATTTTTGTGGATCTTAAGCTTGATTTGCTCGAGGTCCTTGATTTTTTTTTCCCTGAGTAAGACATGTCCAAAACTCCCTAAGCATAATTAGGTAATATTTTGTTTTTAAGATCAGTTTCCTTCAATGTATCAACTTATTTTCTTTTTGTTGGCATGCATATTTGAATTTATTATTTGCTTTTGTGAACTTCTTGTTGCACGTATTGAAATTGTTGTAGAAGTTCCATCCGATCAAGAGGTATTTCAGCATGTTCCACATAATTTCCCCTAAAAAAGGCTAATAACTTGACCAGGTATATATGTTCAAATTTTAGCCAAATTATCCACATAACCACATTATCACTTGCCTTGATCACAGTAAAAGATAAAGGATATAATCTTCTTGTTGATTGTCATTGGAGAGTCAGAGACCCCTATGTGATTCATGTGGTAATATGATTTTTTTTTGGGAATCAGGGAATATTCATAGTGGGCGCAACTCGCTAGGTGATCGCAGTGCAATGTCGGCGACGAGACGTCGCCACCTAATAGTTTGTTCATCCGACGACGAAGAAGTAGCAGAGGTCGAACCTTTTCCACGACGTCGACAACAACTGCAAGTCGAAGAGGAAGAAGACGCCACAACCGCAACTCTCAATTTCCAAACTGTAACCCTCAACTCCACCTCCCCGCCATCAGCACAAGTAGCTGACTGCGTTGTTGGCCACGTCTTGCAAGAGATGGGGCTCATGATTCGGGCTGAATGGCTGCGGTCCTGCATCGGCCAACTAGAAAGCTCCGTCTCAGGTTTCCAGGCATTCGACTCCACATCAAAAGCCAAGCTGTGCTTCAAGCAATTCCTCTACTCGGACATGAACTTTTCCAGTCTGGGAGGCCTACCTCCGAATGTGCACACCATGCATTCAGTTGATCTCAAAGGCCCCTTTGTGCTTCAGGTGGATGAGATAGCTAATATCAGCTTTCCTCTGCGGGATAGGTACCATGAAGCACCTGCAGGGATAAAAAGATGTCTCAAACTGTCCATGACAGATGGTATTCAGCGCGTGTTTGGGATGGAATACAGGCCTCTAAAGGGCCTTGATGCCATGACTTCTGCAGGGATTAAGGTTTCCATTTGTAATGTCAATGTAAGGCGTGGAATTCTAATGTTGGTCCCAGAAGTTTTTGATATTCTGGGAGGTATGGTTGATGAATTGGAGGGTGCACGTCAGAGGCTGGTTGTTGAAGTAAATAAGCCACCTAGGGGAAAAAGAACAAGAAATGGAGATGCTCCTCCTTTAGCATCTAGATCAACTCTTGCTGCATGGCCCCAAGAAAGTGCCACTGCTCCACAATGCCCTGATACTTCTAGACAACGTGGTCAAACTCTCCAGTTTGAAGGGAGAGAAACCTTACCTAGCATCCGTGCAAGTAATGGGCTTAGAGATACCACAACTCCCATTAGAAGGGAAGACACTGAAAGTGACCTTTCATGTCTGGAGGCTATGGATGTGTCAGTCATCCCAGCCAGCAATATGCTTGGGAACTTTGCAACCCCCAGCAGGAGGGTAGATAGTGACACTGTCCATTTTCCCATGGAGGCAATGCATGCATCTAGCATCGACACTACCATTAGTAGGGTAAGAGATGTCATAGGTCCCACTAGGAGGGAAGATTCAGAAACTAGCCTTTCAGCTATGGATGTTGATGAAACTCGACATATGTTTGATGGTGCAGAAACAATGTTTAGGGCCCCTTCTACTGGCAGCATAGAAGTAGACGTTGCAGTTTCTGTTTGCAGTGAAAGTGCTCAGCCTATCTCTACTGATGAAATTGACTCAATTGATGCGAGAATTCGGTCAGAGAGTCTTACGCAGAGCAGAACTCAAGGTAGCATTCCAGTTCATATCACAACAGTTGACTCTGAGTCTGAGTCAGATGAGTTACCTACTGCAGATATAAATGAAGACGCTAACATGGGTGATGAGCTGGATCACCCTTTTGTTCTTAATAGAGACAAGGAAATCCCTTTTACTTACATGGCCAGCTTGTCTGCTAAGCGAGCAAGTGCTACAGTCAAAACATCCTGTGTCAAAGGAAAAATAAAGTGCTTTCTTACTGGTGTGAAGGGATTTAAATATAAAGGAAGCAGTTCCTACGAACTTAGAGTTTATGTCGATGATGGAAGCCTTATCTCCGAAATACTTATTGATCACAATGCTGTGCAAAAACTAATAGGCTACTCTCCCATAGAAGTGACTAATGCTCTTGCTTCGTCAGATAGAAAGCAAGAAAATCACATGAAGGAAACAATGAAGCAGTTCCAGAAATTCCTTGTGAATTTTGAGGGAACAATGGTTATAGAGATGATGGGGGACTGTCTAACACCAATTGCAACAGAAATGAACCAGGGATGTCCTGCATCTGATGCTCCGCTGCTTCTTAGGCGACTTCAACCATCTCTTATGCCGTGATTGAGAGGTGCTTTGGAGGGATGTTAGGGACTTAGGGAGGTATTGGTTTTTCATTTATCTAAAGAATATGAGCATAAAGATGTAAACATGTGGATTTTAGCGTGTACCAAAGCATAATTATTTTGGGATTGTTATTAATTATGCTTAAGGAATATTTATATTAATAACAAATATTTATATTAATATTTATGTTAATAACGAATACTACTTTTTATTAGTTATGCTCTCTATCGTGAAGTAACAATACTTATAACATATTCATTATTGATAATGATAAAATAAATTATATTTATACTCTATCAGCCATTTTGGAACAGCCAGTTTTACCAAACAATTATATTTAATAAGCTAACGCAATCAGCCGGTCAAAACAGTTAACACAACAAACTATTAAGAAACCGCTGACACAACCAGTTAACAGCCAATTGCCAAACATAAAGTACATGGTATACACAAAGTATATACACATGTATGGTAATGATCAGGCTAACTGTACCTTAACCGAACTAAACGAGTAAGTATAAAATCGTACCCGCCTCATTACCTGTTTATGTAAATCAGGTATTCCTCGCCTCGTGCTTACCCAGTCAACATCGTTTCCTTTGTTTTAACATATTTGGAGCCTGTTTGGTGACCTTTTTTTCGGCTTATCAGACTTATCAACCAATTTTTTCACCAAACACGTAACTTTTGATTTTGCGTGCTCAATTGTGCATTAAACAGAAAAAGTAAGGTTGAAGATACTTTTATGACTGTATTTGCTGAAGTTACTATACAAGATCATTTTAGCTATTTATTAATATAATTTTTTATTTTATTTATTAATAACAAATATTTAAAGATAATATTTTTATCCTTTGAATCCTCGATCCTCCTTCTCCATTCCTCCAGTCCTCAGCCCTGCCGCCCACCTTCCTCCTCTCTGTGGCCCTGTCAGCTATCGCAGACTCGCAGCGACGCACGTCAAGCAGCGCTCCAGACTTGCAGTTGCAGAGTTGAGGTCAGCATTCGCGAATCGCTCCGGTCTTAGATTTGCACGGGAGACTTGAACCATTTTCTCCTCCTTTTGTATAGAGTAGGATTATCAAATATAAGGAGTACAATTCAAATTAGCTTTTGAACTGAATTACATACGGAGTGTGATCGAAATCCATATTGGGCCGTAGGCAAGTGTGACCCGATAAAGCTCACTTCTCATTTGATTCTTATTGTTCGTTGATCTATCTTGATGACACAGAAACAAGCAAAGGTACCAAACATGGATTCATCCTCACTGCTATTCAGCCAGCTCAAGGTTCGTACATCACCCTCTTCTTCTTCTTCTTAAGTACTAGTAGTATATTGTTAGAAATATGATGAAATCTCTATCACATATAACCTGTAATCCACATTTGTGATGGGAGTGCTTCTTCTTCTGATCAATCACAGGCTGCGGAGCCCTTCTTCTTACTCGCTGGTCCCAATGTGATTGAATCTGAGGATCATATTCTTTACATGGCCAAGCACTTGAAGGCCCTGACTTCCAAGTGCGTACTCTAATTCCACCTATCACATAATCTGAACATCAAGTGCATATGATACACAAACTATATCTAAAAAAATCTACTGTAATTAGTATAAACATGTAACTGAAGTAAATTATTCAAAATCTAACTGCAGTTTTACATTAAAAACAATACTTATTTTATCAGATTTTGAATGCGTCACTCGATAATGTGATGTGTATATTCTGCACTCGTACAATTGAAAAATATTTTAAAAATAGGTGATGATATTAACAAAATATTTGTACTCCCACCGCTCCTATTTAATATGTACAAGGTCCCCCCCCCCTTCAATATTAAATACTACGTACTAAATACATTGGAAAACCCGAAAAAGATAGTCTGACACAAATTGTATAAGGTAATAATTCATTAGTTAAGAAATTTTAATGCAACTTTCTTAATTTGTGCGATTTAGACAGGAAACACAGAAAAATAAGACTGTATAAAGTTTAATGTATTAGTTAAGAAATTTTATTTGATTTGGTTTTTATTTCTTTGATATATTAATTTTTGAAATTCTGAACTGGATTTTGATAATAGAGCAGTGCCTAACATTGTAATAAGTTTTTTAACAGTTTTGAGGGGGACAATCAGTCCTATTTGCACACGTACAAGTCAACATTTTATCTTGGAGGAGAGGGAGTAGTTCCCCCACTCTTCTCCATTGTCTCTGCCATTTGTTTTAAATACTTTAAAGTCAATGAATGTCAACATAATTGTGATAGGTATTTAGCTCAAACTTGATGAACTTTAAGCTGAAACGTGATGAATATATGTTTGCGACACACCTATCTAGGTGAGCCAGAACTCACTGGTGTAATTGGAGGCAATGTATGTTCTGATGTTTTCTTGTTATTGAGTTTTCCTCCTCCAACATGTCTGAACTGATACTTTTGTTAATTCTTTCAATGTTAATTATATTATAAGAGAAATTTCCCTAAGTAGGACTAAAACAACTTAAACAAGAATAAAGTTCATAAATAGGACTATCATTGTCCTATTCTGAAAATATGACTCATTCACTCTGATTTTGGGAACTTTTAATCAACTTATTTTTTTAATAGGACTAAATAAGTCCTATTTAGAGAATAAAACATACTTAAACCTATTTTGAACTACGTGTATTTTCTGATCCTATATTGACATTCTTTCCCATCTTGAGTGACATTGGATGAAAACGTTTCTTATAATCTTGATCTGCTCTCTAGACTTGGGCTAAAATTTGTATTCAAGTCAAGCTTTGACAAAGCTAATCGCACTTCCTCCAAATCATTCCGTGGTCCTGGCATGTATGAAGGTTTGAAGGTATAGACAAATATTTCCTTTCACTGTTCAAAGTGCAGTTTTTCCACTGGATCATTTCAATTAGGTTGTTATAAACAACAGCTCCACGAACAATTTTAAGTAATGTATGCTGTGTGCAATTCCATTCAAATCTATAAGTCTTTTGTTCCTCTTTTCCTGCTGCAGATCCTTGAAAGGGTGAAAACAATTTATGATGTACCCGTGGTGACTGATGTTCATGAAAGCATTCAGGTGACATTTGATTTCTTATGGCAAAATGATGCATATTCCCGTGTGATAAAGTCCCCTTTCCTTATTTGGTAAAAAAATGTGATTTTAATTTACTAAGCTCATTTATTCCCCCCCAAGAGAAAACATGAAAAAAAATGAAAAATGATTCATTAAAAACAACCTCAGTTGAAGCGTGAACCTTATTAAGGCAAGGGGCTGTGGTAGGGGGATAAGACTCCATATGGGATCCTTAATTGTCTTATTCTATCAGAATGACTCATAATCAGAGCTTTTGATTTTCTTATTTAGCTTTAAAGAACGTTTTTTTCTTCATCTTTCTTTGACACGTCAGACAAAGATCCCCCCCCCCCAAATTTGTTTGACGTTCTTCTATTCAGAATTGAACAACATGCCGGATAAACACACACTTTTCAACTGTGGGCTCTGACACCTCTTTGTTATTGCTTTTTTCAGTGTGAAGCAGTGGGGAGGGTTGCTGATATAATTCAAATTCCTGCTTTCTTATGCCGGCAGGTAAGTCTATCAGCTTAAACTCTGGCTTTGGTTATCAAATCTTTACATTTATTTATTTATTTATTTATTTATTTATTTATTTATTTATTTATTTATTTATTTATTTATTTATTTATTTATTTATTTATTTATTTATTTATTTATTTATTTATTTATTTATTTATTTATTTATTTATTTATTTATTTATTTATTTATTTATTTATTTATTTATTTATTTATTTATTTATTTATTTATTTATTTATTTATTTATTTATTTATTTATTTATTTATTTATTTATTTATTTATTTATTTATTTATTTATTTATTTATTTATTTATTTATTTATTTATTTATTTATTTATTTATTTATTTATTTATTTATTTATTTATTTATTTATTTATTTATTTATTTATTTATTTATTTATTTATTTATTTATTTATTTATTTATTTATTTATTTATTTATTTATTTATTTATTTATTTATTTATTTATTTATTTATTTATTTATTTATTTATTTATTTATTTATTTATTTATTTATTTATTTATTTATTTATTTATTTATTTATTTATTTATTTATTTATTTATTTATTTATTTATTTATTTATTTATTTATTTATTTATTTATTTATTTATTTATTTATTTATTTATTTATTTATTTATTTATTTATTTATTTATTTATTTATTTATTTATTTATTTATTTATTTATTTATTTATTTATTTATTTATTTATTTATTTATTTATTTATTTATTTATTTATTTATTTATTTATTTATTTATTTATTTATTTATTTATTTATTTATTTATTTATTTATTTATTTATTTATTTATTTATTTATTTATTTATTTATTTATTTATTTATTTATTTATTTATTTATTTATTTATTTATTTATTTATTTATTTATTTATTTATTTATTTATTTATTTATGTATTTATTCTATTTTTGCAGTTAACACTATGCAAGATTTCTCTGCAAAAGTTACACTATTGGTTTCCTTTTTCCTAAATTGCAGACAGACCTCCTTGTTGCAGCTGCCAAGACTGGCAAAATAATCAATATCAAGAAAGGGCAGTTTTGTGCACCATCTGTACGTCATATGCTTAAAAATGATTGGGTTTCTTGGAATCCAAAGAAGTATTGGGTCATGATGTTTTACTTCTTATTATTTTCTCTGTAAACTTTTCAACTGATAAATGCACTGTGTTTCAAGGTCATGTTAAATTCTGCTGAAAAGGTCAGATTGGCTGGAAATGACAATGTAATGGTATGCGAGAGAGGCACCATGTTTGGCTATAGTAAGTCAGCTTCAATATCTTACCAATGAATAGTTTTTTTAATTTAATTATGTCTGCATTTTTGGATTTTATAATGATAGTGGCACTAAGAATTTGCAGGTTGAGAATTTCTGAATCTGATGTGAAGGATATCTGTAACATAAAATGCAGTCTCACATCTCCTATGCCTGTTATGTTAAAAAAAGGGAGAGTTAAGATATCTGTTTTAGGGTACTCTGGACATGCTATCCAAACTAAATTTTATTTTTAATGCATGGTAAACTGAACTTCAGAAATGGAAATTTATTGTACCTGAAAATCTATGAAAACAAAATCCACAACCTTGGAGTTAAGATAGAAATGGCGTATTCCTACGTAGCCTATTTTCTGCTTCAACCTATGAGTGTAATATTCCCTTTTTCATTTAAAAGTTTAAAAATATATCACTTGTTTATGCAGATGACTTGATAGTTGATCCACGGAACTTAGAATGGATGAGGGAAGCAAATTGTCCAGTGGTAAGAAATTATATACGGAGTACTATGTTTGATTCTGAAATTGATTCTTCATTTCAGTCCATCTGCCTGGTTTCCTAACAGTGTACCAAACTTATATGTGTGTTTAAGGTGGCTGATATAACACATTCTTTGCAACAACCTGCTGGAAAGAAGGTGAGCGATCAGTTTTAATATTGTAAGATTTGGCATTAGTTACAAACCACATACATCGGTCTTAACAGTTGCAGACTGTAGGAACGAAACTAATGCATCTTTAACTTATAAATTACACTTCCTCCGGCCCATAAAAAGTGTTATGTTTTTTAAAGTTTATCTCCCAAAAAACACTCTAAAGTTAGAACCATACACCCGCTTCTTTTATTTTGAAGGGAAAAAACCAATAAACAGCAAAGGGATCAGATTATCTTTCTTGTGCTATATAGTACATAATACAAGCACTTATTTCTCACATTGATCTTAAGCGTTATGAATCTATCGAGCAGTATCATGTTTTTGGTTCGTCATACAGTTGGATGGGGGAGGTGTTGCTAGTGGCGGTCTTCGTGAATTGATTCCTTGCATTGCCAGGACAGCCGTTGCTGTAGGAGTGGATGGGCTTTTTATGGAGGTATGTTGTAGTAATTCTGGTTTAGAGAAATGAGTACAGGTTTGATTTTTGTATAAGCTTGCATGTTTTATGCTTGAGAGGTTAAAAGTTAAATAACCCTTCGAGAAATTAAAAGCTGTTTTTAATTAATTAATGAGTAAATTCCCTAAATAAGACTAAAACAATGGAGAAATGGATAACTAGGACTTCAATGTTTTATAGGACTAAAAATATACCCACTTGACAAAACTATCCTTTAATGAAATTCCAGGTGCAATTAAAAACAAAAAAAAATAGAAAAACAGCAGGACCCAAGTCGATCCTAATCGGCTGTTGATAACACACCCATGGTGCCCCCTCCATCCTCCAGCACATCACCGTTGTTGCCGCCCTTAGGCTAGGCCGCCGCCGCCACCCTCCCACGAGCTGCCGCATCCACTCTCCGACGAGTCCCATTCCTATCTCCAGCAAGACTGCCATCTTGTTTTAAACTGACATAATAATGGCATTTGCAAAAAAATATGGCATATCCACATGTGAAAACATTACATTTTCAGATATGTTGAAATAGAGCACATAAACTAAGAAATAATATTGGAGAGGAAAGGATTTTCTGTGTATTTCATTGAAGGGTAAGGCCCTTTAAATATAGATTACAAAGATAGAATATTCCTATAAAAGATGCTATACAATAATACTATATATGGTATATTCCTAAAATATTCTAAAGCATATTCTAAAGTATATTATAATATACTTTCACACTCCCCCTCAAGTTGGAGCATAGATATTTATCATGCCCAACTTGTTACATAAATAATCAACTCGAATTCCATTTAGTGCTTTAGTGAACAAATCTCCAAGTTGTTCCCCAGTCTTCACATATCCTGTAGAGATCAATCCTTTTTGTATCTTCTCTCGAATAAAATGACAATCGACCTCAATATGCTTTGTTCTCTCATGAAATACAGGATTGTTTGCTATGTGTATAGCAGCTTGGTTATCACACCACAATTTAGCAGGCATTGATGTCTTCAGTCCGAGCTCGGTCAATAAATGGCTTATCCATATGATCTCACATGCAGATTGTGCCATAGCTCGATATTCTGATTCGGCACTTGAACGAGAAACCACATTCTGCTTCTTACTCTTCCAAGATACAAGATTACCACCAACAAAGACGCAATAACCAGATGTAGATCTTCGATCATCTTTAGAACCAGCCCAATCAGCATCTGCAAAACATTCTATTCTCATGTGATCATGGTTTTGGTAAACAATACCTCGTCCTGGTGCACCCTTTAAGTAACATAATATGTGTTCTACTGCAGCCCAATGATCAATGGTTGGAGATGACATGTATTGACTCACTACACTCACAGAATAGGCAATATCTGGACGAGTGACTGCGAGATAATTAAGCTTTCCAACCAGTCTTCTATATCTTTCTGGGTCTTCAAACGGTGTGCCTTCTTGAGTGAGTTGCACGTTGGGAACCATGGGTGTTGTACTTGGTTTGGCCCCTAATTTCCCTGTCTCAGCTAGTAAGTCAAGTACATATTTACGTTGAGATAGAAATATGCCTTTCTTACTTCGTGTTACCTCAATTCCCAGAAAGTATTTCAAAGAGCCAAGATCTTTCGTCTGAAATTGACTATGCAGAAAATTCTTAAGGGCCAAAATACCTGCATTATCACTCCCTGTAATCACAATATCATCAACATACACCACAAGCAATGTGACACCTGATTCTGTTTGTTTGTAAAAGACAGAGTGATCTGATTTGGCTTTTATCATTTCAAATTGTTCAATTGATTGACTAAATTTCCCAAACCATGCACGAGGACTCTGTTTCAGACCATAAAGAGACTTGCGAAGTCGACAAACTTTACCATACTCCCCCTGAGCAACAAATCCCGGAGGTTGCTCAATATAGACTTCTTCCTTAAGGTCACCATGCAAAAATGCATTTTTAATGTCCAACTGATGTAAGTGCCAATCATGAGTTGCAGCGAGTGAAATGAGTAACCTGACAGATGTTAATTTAGCAACAGGAGAAAAAGTGTCAGAATAATCAACACCATAGGTTTGAGCATAACCCTTCGCAACTAATCGGGCTTTCAACCGAGCAACAGATCCGTCTGGGTTAACCTTAACAGCAAAGACCCACTTACATCCAATAGATTTCTTCCCTGTAGGCAAGTCAACCAAATCCCAAGTACCATTAAGATCTAAAGCATTCATTTCCTCTACCATGGCATGACGCCATTCAGGATGAGACAAAGCTTCTTTGACAGATTTGGGAACAGAAATAGAATCAATGGAAGCAATAAAAGAACATGAAGCAGGAGATAACTGATTGTATGACACAAATGAAGAAATAGGATGAGTACAAGACCGTGTACCTTTACGTAGTGCTATTGGGAGGTCAAGATCTGATGTGGAGACAAGATCTGAAGATGCAGGTACTGGTTCAGGACATGAGATCGGAGTCGAACTAGTATCAGGAAAAGTAATCACAGGTATCGCCGGTGGATGGTGATCAGGTGCTTTGTGTCGACGGGTGTATACCAAATGTACGGGAGGCCTAGGGTCAGGAACAGTAACTTGTGGAATATGTGTTGAAAGTGTGGACTCAGGAATAGTCATCGTGTAAATGAGTATATCATCATTACTCTCATGAATATCCGCCTTAGATGATGAAAAAGGCGTATTTTCATGAAATGATGCATCAATAGAAACAAGATACCGACCAGTACTCGGACAAAAACATCTATACCCCTTTTGGACTCGAGAATAACCCAAGAAAATACATTTTAATGATTTGGGATCTAACTTTGTAAGATGAGGATTAACATCTCTAACAAAACAAGTGCAACCAAATATTTTAGGTGGGATAGGAAAAAGCTCTTTGTTTGGAAATAGACAATGATAAGGAGCTTTACCATTCAAAACAGAAGATGGCATTCGATTTATCAAAAAACATGCAGTAGACACGGCATCTGCCCAAAACTGTTTAGGCACATTATCATATTAAAATAATGACAATTTAAATTTGAAAATGTAATACGGAGTATATGCGAATTAGAAGAAAAATGAAAATTCAGTACTAAAATGACATCTTAACAAAATTAGTGACATAAAATGACCCTATTTGTCAAGCAGGTAAAAAATATGGCATTCTAAATATTATAATTTCAAAGTAATATTTCCCGATGGATGTGATGCCACAGATTTGGCGATTTTCAAATCCGTTTTGGAATGAACCAATAGTTGGCATTTTCAAATTCAAAATAAACTAAATAAAATTCAAATTGAAAATTTCTGATCACTGGTCGTTGAAACCTCCCTTTCCCATCCAAAAATTTCTAATTTAAAATAACATTTTCATTTAGAATCTCAAAGTATTTAATAGAAAATTAAAAAAATTCAAAAGATGAAGAAAATGGAGGACCAGGAAGAGAAGAAGACGGAGGAGGAAGAGAAGGAGATTGCCTGACTTCATCGAAGAAATTGCAGAAGAAGAGATGTTTTCGGTCGCTGGAGAAATTATAGAAGAGTGGCGGCGACTTTGGCTGTGGTGTCATCAAGCACAGCTTTGGTAGCAGGAAATCGCAGAGCCATCGCTCTGGAGACAGCTTTTTGGATTTAATTATATGTAGGGTGAAAATGTAAAACAGAGTCATATTTAGGGAATAATAAACTTAAACTCCTATTAATGAACTTTGATAATGTTGTAATCCTATTTAGGACAACTTCTTTTAATTAATTGATTGGGCGAACAATATATTTGCAAATGTATTATTGATTGAGCGTTCTTATGTCCCTTTTGGCTCCTAAGGTGCATAATGATCCTCTAAATGCTCCAGTAGATGGTCCTACACAGTGGGTAAGTTTTATTAACTGCCCAATCTCGACCCTTAGCCTTCATTTTCCCTTTGGTATACAGTCAACCTAATGAACATTTCTGTTGTTTAAAATAGCCTCTTCGCCATCTGGAAGAACTGCTGGAAGAGCTAATCGCAATCAGTGTAAGTGTTTTCCAATTTAGAAAGATCTGTGAAGTTTTTCAATTGGCCTGAACATGTTTTACTTAATTACTTCCCCATGATTAATATTTTATTCTTTCCCCAATTCAATATATGAAGTCATTCTTTTTCTATCATTTGGCAAATCTGAAGGGGGTTAGCAAAGGGAAGAAACCATTCAAACTTGATCTCACCCCATTCCGTGATTAAATTTCGGGATTGTGAGAAGAATCCACATGCGAAAATATACGGAATATACGTCCATTGGTCGTATAATGCATACTGCTGCTGCAAGGGAAATAGCTGCAAAATTTTGATTGTCTGAACAATTTAATTTAACTAGTATTGTACCCGTGCGATGCACGGGACAATAATATGTTTGTATTTTTTGCGTCATTATTTTAAAGTAATTATAAAGATATGCTAATAGTCAAGTTCCTTAGAAATTAGAATGATTTAATGTTAAAAAAATACTCCCTATATTATGATGTATAAATATTGCGATAAAATAGTACTCCGTATGGGATCGGGGTTGAATTTAAAAAAGAAAGAAAAACATTCACCAAAATGACCAAATGCTGGAAAGTGAATACAGTACTTAAATATAAGAACCTATTATTCAATTTCTTGACATCTCCCCTACTCCGTATATTTAAGAACAGATAATTATTTTCTTAAAATCACGTCAAACTCATCGGGACGTGAGTACCAATGTACCATATATATGAATTAAAGGTTGAAAAACAAAGTAGGCAATGTTTTACTGCATGAGTACCATATATATATATTCTACTCCGTATAGTATATACCTGCTTGTCATTCATAAATTGTAAGTTTAATGTTGTGTCTTGTTGTGGCTTGATTTTTATACTAGGCATTATACTATCTTATAATTATGTCATACTTTTAAGAATAAATAAATTACAATAATAATACGGATTTAACGCTATCTACGTCTATCATCTATGCATAAGATGATCAGAGCCTAATAAACATTTACACTATTACATCACTTATAAGATCAGACCCCTACCATGCATGAGATTTGAACAATCTTATTTTTAACTTGCCATGATCAAACATTAAGGCGGCGTATGTACCTGTGTGATTCTACGAAGATACATCTATCTCATACAAAGTACTGTATTTGGCATCTACGGGGTATTTTTTTATTTGCATGGTACTTCTTGTGTTGCTCATGGAAAACCAAAGCTTTAAACCCCATTTATACTGGAATTATTCATGTCATTGATAAACAGATCAATGAAATAACACATGTGTGATTGTAAATGTACTCAAAATAATTTGATTAAGACGATGAGCACCTGAGGTTACCGTAATAATTAAAATCTGCGGAGAACAAATGAATGTACAAAGGAGTGCAAGCACTTAGATAAGGAGTAAATGACTTAGAATGACATGACAGTTTTACAATTTACAAATATGAAGCAGCGGTTAATGACCATGTGAATTGTCTAGGCGGGAACAGTTATGGAACACACGGTTCCCTTTTTATACCTATATAGGTAGGTAAAATAAAATAATCGCCCTAAATATGAGTACAAATAATGTGATATTCCAAAACAGGACCATGTTTTTGTTTAAATTGGAGTACTCATTGTTTTTTGTATAATATTGCCAATTTTGGCGGTATGATTCCGAAAGTAATCAATTACTCCGTACTATTCACGCAAAAATATTTGCCCCTATTGTAGAATATCAAACCGTTTTGTATCCCTATTTCGAGAAATTTCAGCTTTTTAAAATCTAAATGTGTTACGGAGTATGTTACTTGCTCTAAAGTCTAAATAAAAATAATTATTTCCATTCTATAAAATATTGTCATATTATCGTATTATTATTGTCAAGAATATGACAATATGATTTAATTATTCATGTGTAATTATTTCATAACAACAACGGCTTGCTTTATTTAATTACTCATGTGTAATTATTTCGTAAACAAAGAATGATATGGAACTTATTTTAAAAATATGCTTTTCATATTATCCGACATTAAGGGAAAATTGTCAATTTGATCCTCGTAATATTACGAAAAAGTCAAATAGGTCCTCGTACTTTTTAATAAATCAATCAAATCCTCGAACTTTGTAAAAATGTTCAATTGAGTCTATTTGCAGGTGACCTGTCATGTTAGCAGGTCACTCGTTGACGTGACACACTTGTAGCAGCCCACTTAGCCGTGACTTTGTTATAAAACATAGAAAATCCGGCACAGTTTGGGACCGGATAAAACATAGAAAATCTGGCACAGTTTCCGATAAAACATAGAAAATGTTATGAAAATTTCAAAATGTTAAAATTATTCGATAATTTAATAGGAATATAGGATGATTAGCTTTTAACTTTTTAATATTAAGAAAATATATTACGGAGTATCTTTTATTATTTGCTCTATCTTAATTTTAGAACTGTAGGTCTTCATTTTTTAACTTTGAATTTGTACTTAATTTGCACTTTCATTTTTCCCTTTAAGGTTTTTATATTGGCCAATTTACTCTCTATATTTATATTTTATATTCTTTATATATTTAAAATATCTTACATATTATAAAATTTTCATGAAGTTTTTCCATATTTTATATTCATTAATTTCAAAAACTACATAAAAAGCTAATTATAGTAAAAAGATATATATGATCAATTTTTAACATTTTCTATTTATTTATAGAAATTCTCATTTAATTTTTAGGGTTTAATAAAGTTCGACAGATCGTACTTTGGATTCTTACACTTAGATACTTCTTTTGTAATTGGCTAAATAGGTAACCGGTCATGTGAGACGACCATTATTATCAGAAGGTCAAAAAAGTTAGGATTACTCTAAAATAATTAATAGTTGGAATTATTATAAATGAATCAGCAATAATTGGGCCTATTGTTATCAATTTTTTCAATAAAAAATTTTCGTGGTTGAAGAGGTGCTCCGAGGACTTACATTATGAGATGTGAGGGGATACAATTGTCAAATTAAAAAAATAAAACATGAAGTTGTGGTTCTTATTAACAGTATATTTCATCCCTTCCGCAATTAATTAAGTTCTTAATTTGAAGTCATAGACTTTTAGCCAAAAATTACTTCTTATATTCACTTTTCAAGATATACTTTCTCAATAGTATGATAGCAAAAATAATGATTAATAATGTTTTTTCATTCGGGGTGGAAATATAGCATACTAAGTACGGAGTACTAAGTAGTACTTTACCACTAAAATATTATTAAAATTTAGGAACTTTATTTTTGAAAATCCTAAAAAAGAAAATGAGAAGTTGCGGGATGAAGTATAAATTATTTTTTATAATTTACTTTTTATATTTAGACACTAAATTATAAGTTCAAAATAAGAGAATACAAAGAATTTTCATTGGTAGAATCGAAATTAGTATTAAGACGGTGTTCAGAATTAATAAAGTTGTAACTCTATTTTGGATGAGAAGTATACGACAACAAACATTAGGCCATTGGAAATTTCTTTTTGTAGAACCAATTTGCACAATGTTGTTTTTGTTCACATGGAAAATAACTTACATGTGCGATTTTATTTTATTTCTATTAATTAGAAGAAATTATATAGTGTATATGAGATTATTTGCTACATTTTTGTTCTCTCAAACAAGAAATCATGTACTATCGTATGTGTGAACAAACAAATTTAATGCAACAAAAGTACATATCAGCCCTCTTGTTGTACACATTTTTTATACCATAAGTACACTCGTCGGTGAAGAAGCTATTCTTTATCTGCGAATAACATGTTTATAGACACATCATGACAAAACATCTAAAAAACGTGTATATGGCAGAGCCAGAGATAATAAGTTATGGAGGTCAGAGCTTAAAGAATTTATGTTGTGAGAACCAAATAAGAAAATTTAATATCACGTATGTTTTTTACTATCTATGACTACTTATCTATACATATCACAACTTTTTGGGGGGGGGGGGGGGGTGAGGCCCTCTCTAGCTCCTCCTCTCTCCACATCTGCGTGTACAAATAATTCAAAAATGTTACTTGTACATGTCAACTTACACGTCCGTTTACGCGTTTGATTTTCATTTTATTAAAAAAGTACGGCGTTTGATTTTCATTTTATTAAAAAAGTACGATGTTTGTGATTTCGAATGTATATAACAATTCACTTTTCCAGTGTCATCCACAATTTCTTTTATTGAAGTGAAAATTACTTTTGTGTGTTCACAAAAAATACATTTGGGGTATAAGCTATTAAGCTAACATGTACCACCAACATTTTGCAAATAGTTTTGTTAGATGTACATTGGCCGTAAAGTACATTCTTCTTCCAAGTTTTTAACCCAAAGCAGGCGTCCCATCCAAATGTGCGGCCTTCTTTCCGGACGGATAAACAATACGGAGAACTCATTTCGAAAACGTATATATACAACGGCTACTTCCATTCAAACTGCCTTTTCTCCATCTCTGAAATTTCCTGCAAGAAAAGAGGCGACTTTCTCCGCGGCTACACCAAATTCCATTGTGACTTTTCAATCACTGCTATATTTTAAGATCAAGATTTTCTCTCTCGCTCTCTTGGGTCCGTCAGAGAAGAAGAGTTGAGATGTTGGTTAGCGAGAAGCCGCGGGCGACCCATAAGGGGTTCTATACGCCGCCGCCCAAACGGGTTAGTGCTCCGTTTCCCTCTCCGGCGTCGCAGAGGAGGCCGTCTTGTCCCCACAGCGCCGGCAAAGATCTCTTTCACGTCATTCACAAAGTCCCCGCCGGAGACTCCCCCTATGTCAGGGCTAAGCATGTTCAGGTAATAAAGTCCTTTTCTTTCCCTTTCTTTGTTGACTCCTTTGGAAGATTTCTGAAACATGGTCTATTAGTATTCTATGAGGGTAATAAGTTCTTTCTGATGAAACCCATTGCAGTTAATCGAAAAGGACCCAAGCAGAGCGGTTTCCCTGTTCTGGGCAGCTATAAACTCCGGGGATAGAGTTGAAAGTGCCCTGAAAGACATGGCCGTTGTGATGAAGCAGCTGAACCGGTCAGATGAGGCCATTGAAGCAATTAAGTCTTTTCGCCATCTCAGCCCTCCAGAATCCCAAGAATCAATTGACAATATCTTGGTAGAACTCTACAAGGTAAGAATGATCAAGAACGCCCTTTTCTTGAAATTCCACTTCTGTACTCTTGGTAGATATAGGAGATGATGAAACCCTTTTATCTCTGTCTTTTTTTTATATATAAATTGTATGTATTTTTATTTCCAGAGATCAGGTAGAATTGAGGATGAAATAGGACTGCTTGAACTGAAACTTAAGAAGGTTGAAGAGGGAATGAATTTTGGTGGCAAGAAAACCAAGACTGCTAGATCTCAAGGCAAACGGATTGAGATCACACTTGACAAGGAGTACTCTAGGTATTTGTATATATATTATATCAAATTCTTATTGCAATGATAATTTATGTTTCTTCATTGGTATTTTAGGTATTTGTATTAATATGTTTCTGCATTGGAAGTTTGGCATTTGTATCTATACTACTCCGTACTCAGCATGTTAAGTTATTCTTTTAGTAATAATGGTATATGTTTCTGCATGAGTACATTTCCAGTTTCCACCTTTCCTTTCTATTCAACCAACCAACCAAATATATGTAACTGCTACTTGAAAAAATGCAGGCTGCTTGGTAACTTGGCATGGGCTCACATGCAACTGAAGAACTATAAATCTGCAGCAGAGAATTACAGGTATGATTATATTTATTGTATATGCTTTCAGATGAATGGATTTTTCTATCACTGCAATCTGTAGAGAGAAAGCTCTTCCCTAGACCCTATAGTCAGTTAGGAATGATGTAAACCATATTATGCAAACAAATCCTTAATCTATAACTACTTTTATCTCAGGTCAGGCAAAGTTATTTTCATTATGAAAGTTTTAAAATGTTAAAAAAAATGTTTATGGAAATTAATTACATAGGATGATAGGAAGAATATACCCCTTATTTGGAATTATATTAATATACTGTATTAAATATACAACTCCTTCCATCCCAATTTGATACGCAGTATAACTTTTCTAAGTCAAACTTTAGTAACTTGAGCATTATTTTGTCATAACTGTACTATTTTATAATATGAAAGTGTTGTTGATCAATTTGTTTGTGTATTTCCAAATATGCAACTACTATACCTTTTAGTAATATACTAATGTACACTTGTCTATAGTGATGGTGAAAATATGAATTATGAAGACAGTGGAGTAAGAATGAGACCTTTATATTAGGATTTAAGTAGTACAGAAGTACAGAACATATTTGAAATTAAACTAGAACTGTTTACTATTGTGTTTAATACATTTGAATCAAGATAATTATTAAAATATTCACTAAAAGAATCATTACAAGCACCTCCACGAAATAGATGTAACATCACTACACTTCCCTCAGAAATATTTTAGACGTATGCAGAGTCTTTTAATTAATACTGTATTGCATTATATTTAAATTGTGCACATGAGAGTTTATGAGAGTTTAGAATGGAAAGTTGGCGATTAAAAGAAGTGAGAAATTGTTACTATGTGGATGCAGGAAAGCTCTATCCATTGAGCTAGACAGGAATAAGCAGTGCAACCTTGCAATATGTTTGATGCACATGAACAATATTGCAGAAGCTAAGTTTCTGCTTCAATCCATAAGAGCTTCCCCAGATTCCAAGGGTGAGTCGTGCCAGAAATCCCTTGAACACGCCACACAAACTCTTTCCGAAATAGAAAAAACATCAGGCAGCACTTCTTTCTGGAGGGGGAGAAACCATAGTGGCAGTCCTGTAGTGGCACAACCCTTTACCCAACCAAGAAGATTCAGTAGAAAGCTGTATTTTGAGAATGGCAGCTTACTGAAAACTCAACCACCACCACCATCTACCACATTCCCCAAGAGTTGGAGAAGAGACGCTATAGAGATTGAACCGAAATCGATGGAACCGACAACTTCTGTCTTCTCATGTTCAAGAATTTCATCATGTGACAGCATAGTGGACCAAGATGATCAGAATGATCTCTCCTTCCATGCGTGCAGCAAGAAACAGCCTTTAGATTCAGCATGTCAAAGAAAGAAAAGCTGGGCTGATATAGTTGAAGAAGAGCAAGAAGAAGAGGAGGAAGAGCTAAAAGACATAACATTTGAGACACCATGCAAGAAGTTCAATGATGAAAATTCTAATTATTCCAACACAATCAAGAACCACCAGGACAAAGAAGAAGATGGGGAGGAGGGGGAAGAAGATGATATATTAAGGGAAAGAGTTGAAACACTTGATGTTAATGGTGGATACCATACTCAACCTGAAGAACAGCCCAAGTGCTTCTATGATTCTGCCACTACTGTTACTGGTGCTTGTTCTTCATCATCTTCATTATTGCATGGCCAGTTGAACTTTGGTACATTTAATACGTTGGTGAGCCCACAGGAGTTCGATTTAGCGGTCCAGACTCCTCTTAGACGACTAAAGCGAAGGATCAACAACCGGCTGCAAGTCTTCCAGGATTTAACTCCTGCGTGACACTTCTCCCCCTCCATGGTTTTCTTGAATTGTTTGTCATCAGTCATTTGTGTGCATATGAAAAGGCATATTCACTTGTGTGAATATGGATTTTATAATGTTTTCATTTTTTCTAGCTGCAGATAATGTACTAATACATCTGTATATATTGCTAGTTTGCTACGAGAATAGCCTAATGAAAGTATGACAGTCACTTTTGTTTGTAGACTGGTTCTGCACAATGCACACATATTAGTAAAACTGTGGTAGGATCCTGAGAACTGAGAAGGTTATGAAATGATTCAAGTTACCGTAAAATCACTCTACATTCACTTCTCAAGTGAGTGAAAGTGGCTTCCCACAGTTCCATACCATATCAGAAGCATTTTTGTGTCAAATGAAATCCTTTTTCTGAACTATTCTTTTACTTCGAGAAGAATATTTATGGACACTAATTTCTTAAATGACACATTTTCAAATGACACATTTACGGATAATTATGAATTCACCACTAGGTTTTATGGACTTTGGGAATATTTATGGACACTAATTTCAAACCAATGTTTTCATTTTTTTAAATGATCATATAAACAAATCTTGTTATAAAAAGAATACTTTTCGTGTGAGACACTCCAGTGGAAATAGGGACATTTAATGTATAGGCTTTGTATCCATACATATTAAAAGTTGAGTCTATTCGTGTATGGTCTCAGAACCGTTACTAAATGTTATCATTTTAACAACGGTCAGGTAAGAACCTTTACTAATAAAAATTCGTGTCAAATACTATTAAAAGTTGAGTCTCTTCGTGTCAGGTCTTGGAACCGTTACTAAATGTTAGCCTTTTAACGACGGTCGGGTAGGAACCGTTACTAATAACAATTTGTGTCAAATACCGTCAGATCAATTATACGAGAATTGTTACTAAAAGTATTACGATTTTGGTTTTGTTTAGATATGTTTTTAGTCCTCTTAAATATAGTACATTTTTTTTATGTCCTTGAAAAATTATTTTTTGTTTTTCGTCATTGTTAATTATGTTGGTTTTCTTTTTAGTCCACCACCGATGATAAGAATCTTCGTTTAACTTCAAAATAAACCTAAGTAAAAGGTTTTCTCTAATTTTATTTTTGAGAAGGTTTAGAAATCATATTTTTTAAATGTGAATACATAGTTTTAGATTGTTTTAACTCTTATATTAGTCTCAAAAAAATTTATAAAAGAACAATTTAAATATTTCTAATAGATTTATGTAATTGAGAGTAATTTTTTTTGTAAGTAGAGTTGATTCAGGATTAGAGATGGACTAAAAAAACTAGTTTGCAGGAACATAAAACAATGTGTATCATATTTGGAGGGACTAAAAACGTATCTATCTCACAAATAACGTACCCAATCCATTTAAGCACACATCGTGTTGTACAATATTAATTATATTACATTCACGATCAACCACAAAATTTTAATTGTACTTCCGCAAAAACTACAAAATTCTCACAAATATATCAGGACGAAGTTACAAAATTCCAACGTATCAATTCAACAAATCATCCTAATAACATCAAATACTCGTTTGTAGCTTCACAAAAAATGATACCCCTTGGTACGTTGACTGACTTGACTCCATCAGATACTCCCAAATTTTTGAATCAAATACTACGTATTTCACAATAGTTAATACTCCGTACAAGCTAGGGAAACACATTTGTCCCTCCGTCTCAATGTACTTAGTCAAACTTGTTTTTTCAAGTCAATGTCTTAATGATACCTAACTTTGACCGATTATATATATATATATATATATACAGGACTGCTCAGGTCCAGTCGGAGGGACGGGAGCAGTCGTCCGAACTTCACTATTTGGGGCGGTTCCCGGTGGAATTTTTCGATGAAATTTTTTTAGCATGTTCCTCATCAAGTCTAGTTTGTCCATATCAAATTTCAGCTCAAAATTCAACCGGGAAGGTAGTCAAATAAATTCTTGAAACTTACTGCACTTTAACTGCTCCAACTTAAACATATAAAACGCAGTTATGTTTCAAAAAATTATTTGACTGCCTTCCCGATCGTATTTTTAGCTGAATTTTTTTGTGGATAAACTAGACTTGATGAGGAACATTCCATAAAAATTTCATCAAAAAACTCCACCGGGAACCGCCCCAAAAGGCGGCGGCCGGACGGAAGATCCTGTCCCTCCGGCTGGACAGGATCTTTTCCGTATACACACACACACACACACACACACACACACACACACACACACACACACACACACACACACACACACACACACACACACACACACATATATATATATAGGGGTTAGTTCCCGTGAGAACAACTTCTTAGGAGAGAAAAAAAGAATGAAATCTAGCCTTTTATTCATTCAATCGGATGGCTATAGAAAATGCTCGTATGACTTAATAATCAAGTGTTTATAAGGAAATCATTAAAAGTGAAGACGTATTGTTCAATCAACATTTATTGCGGAGGTCTTTTTTGTAAATTGATATTGCTTTGATTATCCATTAGCATCGAGCCTAAACCAACACCCCTATAATTCCGCCACGGCCAAAATTGAAAGGTGCAATCATGATATTGCATTATTCAATAAATAAATTGAAAAGTGTAAATCATTATTTATATTTAGAAGCATTAAATAATGTGTTCAGTGGAGCAATTTTAATTAAATTTATATATTTATTTACAATTATGTATGTTACAACATGATTGTTATTTATACTTATCACTTTAGGAGTGCAATGTTAATGTGTCAAGAGTGCATGTGTGTCAAAAGAAAGTGGGCCAGATTATGGTGCATGAAATAATGTTTCTAGTGCAATTTGTATGATTTTAGCTGCATGAATGAAATTGTTGTAATGTGCAATAATGATAATTAAAAGTGCAATTGATATTGAAATACTAATTATGCATTGTTGATAAAAGTTTATGCACCCGAGTAAATTTAAAATGCACTTTATAGAGTTATTTAAGTATATGTCGTTCCAACCAATCCCTTTTTCACATTTGACCTCTTTGAAATTCATGGTCTTTAGTAAATAAAAAATAAATGATATCTGAATTATACATATAATTTAAGTTAAAATGGTACGGTGCACTGTCGAGTTACTTACAATAGAGTGAAGAAACGATTGAGAAGTGCACTGCATATATGTGTGCACTTTTAATAAGTAAAAGTGCAATTTAAAAATTGAAGATATAATGCATCCCTAACTAATTCAAATTGCAACATGTTTGGTATAGTTTTTCATGACTTTGAGTGCTTTAGTTTTTAAAAAAAAAAAAGTGTATCCAACCCAATATTATAGTGCACTAGTATGTATGGCATTTATTAAACATGAAATTTTTAATTTTAAAAATCATAAGAAAACCAAAGTTAGAACATCCTAAATATTCGTTGAGTTGGTACCAAGAGAGGATACATTTAAAACCATATGTATAGCTGAGATTCAAGTCATAAACGTAAAAGAAAATGTAGAAAAGAAAAACACAAAGGAAGTTAATGAAGTAACCTCCCAAAAAGCATTAATGCCGAATAGAGAGAATATAAGGCATGAGAGTTATAACCATAAAGGAAGTTCATTAAATGTAACCAAGAAATGGGGGAGAAATTTTAGGACACATTGCACGTTCGAAAAAGCTAAATAGCATGAAATCACAAAATCACCCTCACATCCAATACGAGATCATCTCTATTAATGGGTTGATTTAATGGTTAAGATCTATTCTTTTTTACTCTAATAAGATTAAGTTCTCACAAACAACCACACTTGAGGTACATGTTACGATTAGGCAAAGATAAACGATAAATTAAGAGCAAGAACACAAGAATTAACGTGGTTCACGCAATCGGGGTGATTACGCTAGTCCACGGCGAACGAGAGAGAGTATATTTTATTATCAGCGTCCCAAGAGGTTTACAAGTACATAAGAGTCGTTTTAAATAGGTTTAGGAAAACCTAAACTGAGATTAGAGCCGCAGGCCCAAAATTAAGCCTGTTTTTAAAATTCCCGTCGACTGACCCGGTCGGGTCTCTTATTTGACCCGGTCGGGTCTCCTTCACAGAACATAAACCCGGTAGAAACCAGGTCGGGTTTCCAAAACAGAAGGCTTCTGCCTTGCTGACCCGGTCGGGTCCCTTCCCTGACCCGGTCGGGTCTCACGTCCAGTAAGCTCCCAGATCTCTGCTTCAACATACCCGGTCGGGTCCTTTATCTGACCCGGTCGGGTATCAGTTCTGAAACTTTGAACAAGGCTCCATCTTCAACAATCTCCCACTTGGAGACTTGGTCAACAATCATCTGCCATCCAAGAACATGTATCTTCTGTAAAACCCCTGATCTCTCTCTCTCTTTCTCTTTCTCTCTCGTCCGCGCCTTCTCATCAAGTATCTGGAAGGCCCGTTGAAGCCATGCATAGCTTCAACTTCTCGGTTGTCACCGCCTTGGTAAGCATGTCTGCTGGATTCTTCGTACCAAGGATCTTCTTCAAACTTATAGTACCATCTTCAATCAATTCTCGAATGAAATGATACCTCATCTTGATGTGTTTCGTTCTGCTGTGAAACACCGGATTCTTCGCGAGATGAATGGCACTCTGGTTGTCACAGTACAGACCACAATCCCCCTGTTTCATGCCCAACTCCGAAAGAAAGTTCTTCAACCAAATCATCTCCTTGGCCGCTTCAGCAATAGCCATATATTCTGCTTCTGTGGTTGAAAGAGCTACACTCTTCTGTAATCTGGACATCCAACTGATTGCCGTACCTCCAAAAGTGAATATGTAACCCGTAGTGCTCTTCCCGGAATCATGACAGCCCCCCAAATCAGCATCGGCAAATCCTTCTAGAATTACGCCATTCTTCCTGAAACATAGGGCAGTTTCAGAAGTACCTTTCAAGTAGCGTAACAGCCACTTGACTCCTTCCCAATGTTCCTTCCCTGGATTTGACATGAACCTGCTAACAACTCCCACTGCATGAGCAATGTCTGGCCTTGTTGACACCATTGCATACATCAAACTGCCAACTGCTGATGCATAAGGAACTTTAGCCATCTCATCTTTGTCTTCATCGGTCTTCGGAGACTGCTGCTTGGAGAGTTTCAACTGACTCCCTAACGGTGTACTCCTTGGCTTGGCATCTGTCATTCTGAACTTCTCAAGGACCTTCTGAATGTACTTCTGCTGTGAAAGCTTTAAAGTACCTTCCACCTTGTCTCTGACTATGCTCATCCCAAGAATCT